GAACCCTCATGTTTGCATGTCGATTCATTCATTTACTATTTGTTGAGTACTTATTAAATGTCATGACCTGCTGATATGGTACATATCATACATTATAGTGGAATGAATCAGTCAAAAATCAAAATTTTAAAACCAGATAATGGTTATGTAGAGAATTGAAATAGGGTGAGGTAATATGTTAGTGCATGTCAGGGTGGCTACTTTTAAATTGACTGATCACAAAAAGCCTTTTTTAATAAGGTGACATTTAAACTGAGATCTGAGCAATAATAAGCACTCAGATAGGGAGAGTATTTTCTTTTAAAAATATATATATATATTTTATTGATATATTCCAGAGGGGGAGGAGTAGGGAGAGAGAGTTAGAAACATTGATGAGAGAGAAACATCGATCAGCTGCTTCCTGCACACCCCATTCTGGAGATGTGTCCACAACCAAGGTACATGCCCTTGACTGGAATCGAACCTGGGATCCTTGAATCCACAGGTTGACACACTTTCCACTGAGCCATAGCGGTTAGGGTGGGAGAGTATTTTCTATAGGTAAAGATCCTTAAGCCCTGGTGGGAGTTTAGTTGTTAAGAGCATCATCCCTATATGCCAACGTTGTGGGTTTGATCCCCAGTCAGGGCACAAACTAGAAGCAACCAATGGCCCAGCCATTGTGGCTCAGTGGGATGAGAGTAGTCCCATGGACCAAGAGGTCACTGGTTCGATTCTGTCAGGACACATGCCTGGGTTTCCTGCTCAATCCCCAATAGGGGGTGTTCAGAAGACAGTCATTCCATGTTTTCTTTCTCCACCACCTCCTCCTCCTTCCTTCCAATCAATGGGAAAAGATCCACAAGTGAGGATGAACAAAAACAAAAAAGAAAATTAAAAAAGGCATAAAAAATTAAAACCCTGTATTGCTGATCTGGTAGATGGGGTGTGGGGAGCAGGGCAGATAAATTAGAGATTGGATGGAGGATTAGTTTAGGGGCCAGAATCTGTAGGACTCTGTAATTAACTGGGGGTTCTCGAGATAGAATAGGAAACCTTTAGGGAATTTTAAACAGAGGTGGAAAATGATTTCTTGTATGGTTTTTAAGAGTTACTTGGATTGCTATATGGAGAATAGTAGAAAAAGGAGGAGTGAAAGCAGGGAGATCAATTAAGAGGCTTGCACAGTTGTCTTAAATAGTGGATTTTTTGACCAAGGAAGTAGAAATGGGGATATGATCAGAAGTGGATGGATTTGAGATAACTTGGGATTGTAGAGTTGAGACTTTTTTGATGGGCTGGCCTGGGGGGAAAAAATAAGAAATCAAAGATTAAACTTAGATTTTGGATGTATAAATTATGTGAATACTTAAATTCTTTTCCTGAGATGTGAAGTGCTGGGAGAGGATCAGGTTTGGGAGTTGGTATGGGGCCTCAAGACTTAAGTTTAAGATGCCTATTAAACATTTAACTGGGGATGATAAGGAGATTTGGTATGAATCTCAACTCCAAAGAGTTTGGGCTGGAGATAGATAGTGACAATAGGCAGGCAGCATAAGTGGTTGACTTCAGTTCATGGGACTAGATGAGGAATCACCCAGTATTTTTTAATGCCTAGTCTTTTTTTGAGCTCTAATGCCTAAAGTATTCATCTACTGGATTTAATTAACATCTATGCTACCGTGTTTCCCCGAAAATAAGACATCCTCCGAAAATAAGACCTATTTATAGGTTTCCTTCTGAGTGAAGTATAAGGCATCCGGAAAATAAGCCCCCCCCTTCCAGGTCCTGTCTCAGAATGCTGTTGCTAAACATGAGAGATTTGGCCCACTGATTCTGAAAGAAATGGAGTCACAAGAAATTCACCAGGAAATTCAGGAATTGGATTGTTATGATGATGTTCCAGAAGATGATGACATGATTGTCATTGAATAAATGAGTAAATTCTTGATACTGTAGGATCACAGTTTGTCTGGTTTGTGTTGACAACTACCGTACTACCGTGCCATATACAGGTAATAAATTTCCTTTATTTTCATTTAACAATAAATGTGTACCGTATTCTTCTTCATGGAAAAATAAGACATCCCCTGAAAATAAGACCTAGCACATCTTTGGGAGCAAAAATTAATATAAGACAGTCTTATTTTTGGGGAAACAGGGTATTAGAATTGAGGAACCTTGATGAGAGTATTGCTGGGTAAGAAGGCCTATAGCTAAATTCTGGGATGATCTAACATGTGAAGATTGAATAGTGATGAGGTCAAAGAGCAAATCTTTAAGGTAGGAAGAATCCAAGAGAAGAAAATGTTTCAAGAAGGAGGAATGCCCTTACTGGTTTGGCTCAGTGGATAGAGAGTCAGCCCTATGTCTGTGCTTGCATCTGTGCAACTGGAACATAAACACATTGACTTGTCTCACTTAAATTCATGAATATTGGCCTTTGTAACTTGCTCTCTGAGCCCATTCAGCTCAGCTGGGTCATTTCTACTCTGTGACTTTCTAAATAAACTTTCTCTTATAGCCCAATCTTGATTCTAAATTCTTTCTTAGCCAAAACTCAAGTACCAGTGTTGTTGAACAGATGTCCAGTTTGACTCCACCGCTCTAACACCTGGTGCCATTTTCACAGCCAAAAGCTATCTCTGGATGGTGGAAATTGGGATAATTTTATTTTCTTCTTTTTACTTTTCTGTGCTCTCCAGATTTTCTTCATTAAAGATACTACTTCTCAACCTAGGGAGGGAAATGATAAAAATAAATTCATAAACATCAGCCTTAACTAGGCCCTATGTATTGCCTGAGGCATACGTTACTTCCACTGCCCTAGGCAGATTTCATGTTTCCTATCCTTATTTTCAGCTGATAACCCTAGAAATTCGTGCATGCAGGTGGGGGAGGGGGGTGTCCCTCAGCCCAGCTTGCACCCTCTCCAATCTGAGACCCCTCGAGGGATGGTCTAAACAAGCAGTTGGACATCCCTCTCACAATCTAGGACTGCTGGCTCCCAACTGCTAGTCTGCCTGCCTTCCTGATTGATCCTAACCGCTTCTGCCTGCCAGCCTGATCACCCTAACCACTCCCATGCCAGCCTGATTGATGTCTAACTGCTCCTCTGCCAGCCTGTTTGTCCCTAACTTCCCTCCTCTGCCATCTTGGTCGCCCCTAACTGCCCTCCCCTGCAGGGTTGATCACCCCGAACTGCTCTCCCTTGCAGGCCTGGTCCCTCCCAAATGCCTTCCCCTGCTGGCTATCTTGTGGTGGCCATCTTGTGTCTACATGGGGGCAGGATCTTTGACCACATAGGGGCAGCTATCTTGATCTTGTCTGTTGGAGTGATGGTCAGTCTGCTTATTACTCTTGTATTAGATAGGATAGAGGCCTGGTGCATGGGTGGGGGCCAGCTGGTTTGCCCTGAAGGCTGTCCCTGATCAGGGTGGGGTTCCCTGAGGGGCCTGTGGTTGCTTGCAGGCCAGCCACGCCCCCTGACAACCCAAGAGGAGGTCCTGGTATCTGGAATTTATTTATCTTCTACAATTGAAACTTTGTAGCCTGGAGCATAGCCAAGCCTCCTGCTTGCTCTGTGGCTGCGGCCATTTCTGTTTGGATATGTTTACCTTCTATAATTGAAACTATATCCTTGAGTGGAGACTTGGGCCTGCCAGAGTGTGTGGAAAGCTTGGCTTCCTCTGTTGCCAGGGAAACCCAGGCCTCCCTTCTGGTAGCCATCTTGGTTGGGTTTATTTTCATACTCTAATTGTAGCAGCGTGATGGTTAATTTGCATATTACTCTTATTAGGTAGGATTGAGAATATAGAAAAATTGAGACATCTTTTACAAGGGCCTACCAGAGCTACCTATCTGCTAGTCTCCTTTTTTTGTGGACTAGTGGTCTGGTGCACAAATTCATGCATGTTGAAAGGAAATTAATTAGAAGAAATATCTTAATATTACTATTCGCCCTTTCTCTATAATGGAAGTGTCAATCAAATTCACGATCGATGATGACAGATGGAAACACATGCATGTGATTGGTGCTGGTGAGAGCTTTATATGTATCACACATGTGTGAGTCAACTTAGCCTTTCATAGATAAAGAATAAACTTGCTTAATTAGATCCGCTTTCTGATGTAGCTAAACTTTTTCCAGCCCAGTGAAGCACCCAACTTCTCTTTCAGGTAATTATCAGCAACACAGGAGTAAATATCAACACGAAGCAGATTTTTATAGATTACACAGGAAGAACAAAGGATAAAATATTTAACTGCAGCAGTGTTTGACTCTGTTCTGCATAGTGAAAAAACCTGAAGTTGTTTTCATTTCTTTTCAGTTGGGTCAAGTTTCTAAGCTTTCTAAATCTCCATTTTCCAGCTAATGAAAAGAAAATGGGATTCCATTGAATCTCCTATCTACCTATTCCAGGACTTCTGTAAGGATCAAATGAGATGAGGCATGGGAAAACGCTTCACAGATATTTGGTTAAAGTGTAAAATGTTTCCACCTGCATTTCTGTGGAGGCTAGTTGCTAGGGAGAAGAAGCTGGGCATTGCTACGTGATATGATGTCATTACCTGGAGCCCACAACACCCATTTTCAGGCTGGGCTGTGGGCCACATTTTGTGCCATTGGGTCTTGGCAGCATTGGCTGCAGTTTGGTGGGATGTTGCTCCAGAGTGGTGGCGGGACCTGTGTCCCACTTGGGGGAAGCCGAGTGTTGGTTTGTTGGTGCCAGATCCATCGTGCTGGTCAGTGTGCATCATGGCAGCACCTGCATTGAGTGTCTGTCCCTTGGTGATCAGTGTGTGTCATAGCGACCAGTCAGATGGTAGGAGGGACACCTAGCATATTAGCTTTTTATATATATTGACTAGAGGCTGAGTGCACAAATTTGTGCACCAGTGGAGTTCCTTAGGCTGGCTTACGGGATCGGGTTGAAACATCCCTCGAAGAATCCCGGCTTATGTGAGGGCACAAGCCAGCCTGGTTTCCAAAATAAAAATCTTTATTTTTCCTACAGGTGAAAGCACTGAAAGAGAAGATTGAATCTGAAAAGGGAAAGGATGCCTTTCCTGTAGCTGGTCAGAAGTTAATTTATGCAGGTATGGATTGAACATTGAAATTAATGTGCCATTTTCTTTCTCCTGTGATATTCTTTTAGTTTTAGAAAAGAAATTGCACTACTACCTTATAGAAACCAGGAAAGTGTTAATTAAAAGTAGACTTGATATTTGACTTGTGGAGAAAATGCTTTTCCTTGTTCTTTAAAATTAGCAATACATCATCATTGTAGATGTTGGATGCCCATGGATTCTTAATCTCTTCCTAGATAGGGATTTCGTAGTATTTTCTTAACTTCGATAATTTAAAGAAAACACCCCAAAATTAGGAATCAGCAGCTTAAAGAGGCAGGTTGTTGGTGGCAGATATAACACTATAATTTCTGGTTCCTAGTCTTGGACTGTTTTCTCAGTTCCATAGAGTGGGGAGACTATTCTTTTTTGTTTTTATATCTTTATCTTTTATTCAATAACTTTCTTAAAATAGAAAATAAGTTCAAGGAAAAGGAAACCTGCAGGAATCCCTATCTCACATTTGACCTTTAGCATTACTTGTCATGTTTTTTATTGTTTAAAATATTATGTCTCCTTTTTCCCTGATTGACTCACGCCCTCAACTGCCCACCGAAGTCTTATGTACTTCTGTGTCTTACCCAGCAGCTCTATATCATCTTGTCATTACTATATACTAAATCATTTTCTGAAGTACTTTTAAAATATATACATATGTGTGTGTGTGTGTGTGTGTGTGTATAGTTTTATTGATTTCATAGAGGAAAGGAGAGGGATAGAAACATCAATGATGAGAGAGAATCATTGATTGGCTACCTCCTACACGTCCCCCACTGCAGATCCAGCCTGCAACCCAGGCGTGTGCCCTTGACTGGAATCGAACCTGGAACCGTTCTATTCGCAGGCCAACACTCTGTCCATTGAGTCAAACGAGCTAAAGCAGAAGTACTTTTTATTGAGTATCATTTTTTAGCATTGGAACATTCTGTCTTACCAAGTATCTGGTATTTGTGAGAGCAGAAGTTTGCTTTTTTCTCCTTCCCCCTTGAAGAATGATTATAAGTTGTTTCCCAGGAGGGATCCTTATGCAATCTCAATATTAAATTTTACTTGTCTTTATACTTTTTTTTCTTAGGACCTTGTTAATATTTCCTTAACCAGCAACTATTTTTATTAAAAGTAATTTTTAAGAATTGCTTGGGATATCTATATACTATTTGATCTTAGTCAATGCTTATGCCTTCTTAACTGTGTTAAATTGTGTTTCCATTTTATTTATCCTCATCTTGACTGATTGGTAAATGTTTTTCTTTTGGGAAAGTATTTTTTTTTATTTTATTGATTTTTTACAGAGAGGAAGGGAGAGAGATAGAGAGCTAGAAACGTCGATGGGAGAGAAAGATCGACCAGCTGCCTCCAGCACACCCCCCACCGGGAATGTGCCCGCAACCAATGTACATGCCCTTGACTGGAATTGAACTGGGACCTTTCAGTCCACAGACCAATGCTCTACCACTGAGCCAAACCGGTTTCGGCTTGGGAAAGTATTTTAATTGATAGAATTGATGTTGATGATTGTTTTAACTTCATTTATATCGATAACAAAGGTTACTGTGCCTTAAGTAAAACTTTTTTCTTCATTTTACTAGGTAAAATTCTCAATGATGATACTGCTCTAAAAGAATATAAAATTGATGAGAAAAACTTTGTGGTTGTTATGGTGACAAAAGTAAGTTTAAGCCTTTTTCTTTTTTATCTTCATGTATTATATGTGAATTTTTAAATAATGATGCCATGTCCAGTCATTATACCTTTGAGTGAATACAGTTATGCATATTCATAGTAGTGTGCACTTAACTATTTTTTTTTAAACTTTACTAGAGGCTTGGTGCATGAAATTCATGCACTGGAGGGGAGGGGTCCCTCGGCCCAGCCTGCACCTTCTTCAATCTGGGACCCTTCGGACATTCCTCTCACAATCCAGGACTGCTGATTTCTAATTGCTCACCTGCCTGCCAGCCTGATCATCCCTTAACCACTCCCCTGCATTGTCCTCTTCTCCCCCCCCCCCATTTAACCTCCCCTGCCAGCCATCTTTGACTACAATGGGAGCAGCCATCTTGTGCAAGGGTGTTAGGGTCAATTTGCAGATTGCCTCTGGATTATATAGGATTATTTTTTATTTCTCACCTAAGAATATTTCCCCCTATTTTAGAGAGTGAAGGGAGAGTGGGGGGTGGGGGAAAACATCTTCATGAGAGAGGAACATTGATCAGTTGCCTCCTGGACATGCCCCTGCTGGGGATTGAACCCACAATCTTTTTGGTATATGAGATAACATTCCAATCAACTAAGTCATCCAGCCAAGCATAAATATGGGTTTTTAAGTCACAAAATAATTGATATATAGTAGGAAATAGAGTTCAAATAAAATTGACAACTAAATACTTTTGTACTAAGTAACAGTTTATTTGGATTGGACTTGAAAATTTTTTAATCCATTAAGAATCATATTGATTTTACATTGTTCAAGTACTTATTCATTAAATGTTAAACTTTTAAATACAAAGAAAGAAATCAATGAGGAAACTTTGTCTCATTTAGTGTTTAAAAAAATATAAAATATACATAGCCCAAAATTTTCCACTTTAACTATTTTTAAGTGTACAATCCAGTATCGTTAAGTACTTCCATATTGTGCAACCATCACCACCATTAGTTTCTAGAACTTTTTTCATCATCTCAAGCTGAAACTGTACCCATTAAACAATAACTTTCTATCCACACCTCTACATACTTAATTTAAGTGGAATCATACAGTATTTGTTTTTTGTGACTGACTTGTTTCAGTCCATGTTATAGCTTTATCGTCCTTTTTAGGGCTGAATAATATTTCATTATCTCACCTAGTTTTATCATACATAGTCCATATGGAAAATGTGGTGGCAACACATTTGGATATGTATTTGTTATTGGACTTATTACCGTTAGTATTTAGTAACCTTGACTATCTACACTAATAAAAGAGAAACATGCAAATTAACCATCACTCCGCTATACCCACAAGCCTTGATCACCAGCCAATCAGGAGTGAGTATGCAAATTAACCCAACCAAGATGGCAGCCAGCATCTGTTTTAATGCTGGTTTGTTTTTGTTTTTTTTCATATTACCTTAATATGAAGGCTGAAATTGTTTGGCTAAGCTAATTGAGATTGATAGTTAAGATAATGTATATGCTGCCAACAGCTTTGAAAGAGTAACAGTGATTCAGAGTCTTACGTTGTTCTTAGTATTGGGTTTGTAGCATCCTGTAACAATAAAATCTAATTAGAGAGCAGGTAATAATGTTGTATTTTATCATCTTTCATTTTTTTTGCTTTTTAATGTGTTTAGCCCAAAGCCGTAACAACACCAACACCAACAACGATGCAGCAGGCAACTCCTACCACCACTACCACAGTTAGTTCTTCCACAGCACCAGCTGTGGCTCAGGTTCCAACCCCCACCCCTGCCTTGGCTCCCACTCCCACTCCTACTCCCACTCCCACATCCACTCCTATTCCTACTCCTACTCCTACTCCTACTTCTACTTCTACTCCTGCTCCTACTCCCACACCTACATCTGTCACTCCAGCATCAACGACAGCATCTTCTGAACCTGCACCTGTTAGTGTCACAAAACAGGAGAACCCTGCAGAACAGCCAGCAGAAACACCAGTGGTTATTACTAGCCCAACATCAACTGATAGGTAAGAACTGGATGCTAGAAAATTGTATCTTAAAATATGTTCATAACATGGTCTTCATGCATGTGTTTATTTTTATTCTGTTCAAATTAACTTTGAACTTTGATAATAAATAAATAAATACAAAAAAACCAGTATCAATTCTGTCTGTTTAACTTTCCATAATCCAGATTTTTATATGCTCTGCGTTATTTTTCCAGAGGGAAAAGGAAAGAGGATCAAAGTCATTAATTTGTGTAGAAAAGTCTGGAAATACAAATGACCAAAAAGAAGAACTATAAAATAATACTATATTATAACATGACATATTATAAATAATTTGCAAGAGTAATATATCCAGTGTAGTGTTTGGAGTTGTTTCTATTTTGTGGCTTTAGTGCAACTCAGGACCTCAATGGCAGTAGTTAAGAGTCCTTGGAATCAGCCGGGACCGGTTTGGCTCAATGGATAGAGTGTCAGCTTGGTGACTGAAGGGTCCCGGGTTCAATTCCGGTCAAGGGCATGTACCTTGGTTGCGAGCACATCCCAATAGGGAGTGTGCAAAAGGCAGCTGATAGATGACTCTCATCGATGTTTCTAACTCTCTATCTCCCTTCCTCTCTGTACAAAATCAATAAAATATATTTAAAAAAAAAAAAAAAAGTCCTTGGAATCAGAACCAGTCACAATGGAAAACTGCAGCAATTTACTCTTATTTCCCCAAATTACGCATCTCAGAGAAGGATAATACAAGAAGGGGAAGGGTGAGAGGAGCTCAGAAAACAAGCTGCTTAGCTGTGCTTTAATCCCTACATTTGTGCCTTAAACATGTAGTGGGCCTGTAAAGCACAAAACTTAGTAGATGCTTCTCAGGAGGTATTCTGGTATGAATTTGAAGGGCATAAGAAATTTGTTTCATCACCACTGGCCTAACATTTTATTAATAGGGATTTGTTTCTTAGGTCAGTTTTGTTCTTCAAAAACTATTATAATGCAAATTCCACAACTAATTGTTGATAGCTGACTTAGAGAAACTGCACTTGTGCACAAGAACTGTATTGTTGCCTTAGCCGGTTTGGCTCAGTGAATGGAGCGTTGGCCTGCGGACTGAGAGGTCCTGGGTTCGATTCAGATCAAGGGCATGTGCCTTGGTTGCGGGCACATCTCCAGTGGAAGGTGTGCAGAAGGCAGCTAATCAATATTTCTCTCTCATCGATGTTTCTGCCTCTCCCTCTCTGTAGAAAAATCAATAAAATATATATATATTTAAAAACCATATTGTTTTTAATTGAGAACAAATTTGATCACACTAAATGTTCATTAGTAAGGAAATGACTTGATTTGTGACCTGTTCATATTAGAGAGCACAGCACTACTCAAAATGCAGTGATGAGGAGATAGCATCAGCATCACTGGGAGTTGAAGTTTAGTTAATTAAGCTTCACCTCAGATCTCTAAATCAAAATTATCTGGGGATTGGTCCCAGAAGTTGGTATTTTACCAAGCCTGGTGAAAACTTAGGCTTACTAAAGTTTGAGAAACTCTGAAATCCAGTACCACAGGTCAGTGAAAATATTCAGTATATATTTGCATTAAATGAATATGGTTTTAAATATAAAAAGCAGATCACAAAATAATACAGATCATAACCATAAAGCAAACATAAGCCACAAACAATTTTGTGTATTCCTCTGGGTATGCATATTAATGTGTAGAAAAAAACAGTATCAAAGGAATAATACCCTGACTGACTGATAAATGGTTTCCTCTTGAAGATAGGAAGGAAAGAAGTGGTGAGGCAAAATCAAGAATGAAGAATGGTAGTTAATGATACCTCAATCTTAGCTGTAATGTTTAAAAATAAATTTTAAAACAATGTGCAGCCTGACTGTTGTTGCTCAATGATGTTGACCTATGAACCAGGAGGTCACAGTTCGATTCCTGGTCAGCGCTCATGATCTGGTAGCAGCTTGATCCCCAGTGGTAGGTGGACTTGTGCGAGGCAGCCAATCAGTGATTTTCTCTCATCATGTTTGTATCTCTCCCTTCTCTGAAATCAAACATTTTTTTAATATAACAATATGCAAAAAAAATAGCACACATTATTCCTTTTTAAAAAAATTGATTGTATATTTAAATCTTCACCCAAGGATATTTTTCTATTGAGTTTTAGAGAGAGGGAAGACAGAGAGAAACACATCAATTGGTTGCCTCCTGCACAAGCTTCAACCAGGGCCGGGGCCAGGGAGGCATCTGCAACCTAGGTACGTGCCCTTGATCAGAATTGAACCCAGGACCCATTGGCCGCCAACGGTCTAGCCATTGAGCCAACCAGCCAGGGCAGCACACATTATTCTGTAAAAGAACAATAATGAAGGAGGCTAACCCTACTAGATAGTAAAATATATTATGCACAGTAACGATTACAATTTAGAATGGCTCTTATTAAAAAGATTGCTCATGAAGTAGACAGTAGTCTAGAAACAGACTAAAATACATAGGGACTTAATATACCATAAAGATGTAATTTCAGACAACTGTTGGGGAAAATGCCTAGTCTTCTGGAGGATGCATTACAGACCTTACATTCACAAAAAATAAATTCTAGATGAGTAAAGATTGAATATAAAGGTGAAACCATAAACTAGAAGAGAACATAGAAAAATTAAAATAATCTTAACCAAAAAGTCATAAAGGGGAGCGATTGATATATGTGACTACAGAAAGAATTTAAATGTTGGCATTCAAACTAAAAATTCCTTAATAAAAGCTTGATTTGATCAATTAAATGGAATACTGCATCTGTTGGAAAAACCTGCCATGGTTGTGCTGACATGGAATAACTGTTAAGTTAAATGAAAACACACACAAAAGAGGACACAGGTGATTGTTATATAGAAACTGGTAGTGGTGGTTGTCTCTGGGCACTGGTCTTGTGCAGAAGAATTAGTTTCTGGGTACATATTTCTTTGGGAAGTTTTGCCTTCTATACGTTAGTTTCCCTGTCTAGTTAATGGAGGTACTTTAGAAATTATACCAAAGAATTATAATAATCTTATTGGGTATTACCATACCAGACATTCTGTTAAACACTTTACTAGTAATAGCCCTACACACAACATTTTGGGATATATAGATACTATTGTTGATCTCATTGTATTGATAAACCAAGGCTTAGAAAGTTGACTTCAAACTTAAGTAGTAGTTCCCTTACTTTTGCTATGCTACATACAGAGCTGAAGTATATTGTGTTTGTTTTTAAAACTGGGACAGAGGTGTAAGTGTGTGCTGTCTTATTGTGTATGTTTTAATCTAAAGTGCTAACTGCTACGTTTACCACTTTTGTAAACCTAGGTTTATTTTTCTTTGGCCTACTCTTTGTGGTCTCTTATAATCTTGTTTTTGCCTACTTTGTTTTTCAGACTTCTCAACAGCAATTGCCCAACAGAAACTTAGTCCCTTTAAATTGGTTTACTTTCCGTTACAACTTGGATTTAACTCTCTTTTGCACTTTTTGGTTATGTTGTGTTCCTTTACTTACATGCCTTCTTCCAGTTTTTGTGTTCAAAACTTACCTATAAGATCTAACTAAATTCCACTCTGTAAAGACTTTCCAGGTCTTTCTAGCTTAAGGTAGTTTCTATATGCGCTAGGTATCATGTACTGCTTTTAGTATTTCTACTGTGATTTGACTTATAGACTATTTAACTTCTTATGTAAACTATTTCAGGGAATAGTTCATTAACTTTATTATATTCCTTAAATACTAAGCTATCTGTGAGGATGCTATTTTTAAATCTTTAGATATTTAAAATGATGGATTTGCAGAATAGAATGAGTATTAAGGTGAAAGTTCTCCCATGTTATAGATAAAAAAAGCTTTGGGGGTTAGCCAGACTTGAGTTTAATTTAAAAAATCAAAGAATCTCTACAAATTAGATAGTTACTAAACTTTAATATAAATTTTACATTTTTTCTGATATATTTTCTAAAACCTTTTACAGTACATCAGGAGATTCTTCTCGGTCAAATCTTTTTGAAGATGCAACAAGTGCACTTGGTAAGTGTCTACATTGTAAGTAACCTTATAAGAGATAGGGAAGAGGTTTAAGTTTAATTCTCTGAATCATGATAATGTGTATGTTATGGTTGCTCATAATCAAGTTGATTTAGATAATTTAATTGATAATAATTTAATTAATAATAATAGCTTTGTAAATTAATGTTTCATACATTGATTCATTTTTTTTTTCAAGATGGCTTGTTTTAAATTTTTCAGTTAGGCCGAGGCCAGTTTGGCTCAGTGGATAGAGCGTCGGCCTGCAGACTGAAAGGTCCTAGGTTCGATTCCGGTCAGGGGCATGTACCTTGGTTGCAGGCACATCCCCAATAGGGGGTGTGCAAGAGGCAGCTGATCGATGATTCTCTCTCATCGATGTTTCTAACTCTATCCCTCTCCCTTCCTCTCTGTAAAAAATCAATAAAATATATTTTAAAAATAAATAAATTTTTCAGTTAGATTTGACATTCAATATTATGTTAGTTTCAGATATACACAGTCATTAGACATTTATATAACTTAGAAAGTGATCCCCCCAATAAGTCTTGTACCCACCCTAAGGTACTAGTCTACTGATCAGTCAACCTTTAAACCATTTGCATTGACACAGACTGACCACCAGGGGCAGATGCTCAATACAGGAGCTTCATCCTGGTGGTCTGTGCTCTCACACAACAGGTGCGCAGTTCAGCTGACCAATGTGTGCCAGACACAGCGGGGCTGGTGAGGGGTTCGGGGGGCGGGGGGGCAGTGAGCAGGAGCAGTGTGGCCATCCAGGCTCAGCTCAGGCTCCTCCCTGGCCACCTCCCACTTCACACACTACTATATCCCTCTGGGGATGTCTGACTGCTGGTTTTGGCTTGCTCCCTGGTGTCAGTGGACGTCATAGCAACTGGTGAAACGGTCAGACACTTAGTATATTACACTTTAATTATATAGGATGTCCCTAAGCTGTACTCACATCCCCATAACTATTTTGTAACTGTGAATTATACTACTTAATCCCTTCACCTTTTGACCCAACTCTTCAATTCCCATCCCATCTGGCAACCATCTGTTTATTCTCTCCATCTAGGAGCTTGTTTCTGTCTTGCTTGTTCTTTTATTTTGTTTTTCAGATTTCATATCTAAATGAAATCATATGGAATTTGTCTTTTTATGTTCAACCTATTTCACTCATCACCGTACATTCTAGATCCATTCATATTGTCAGAATACATTGAATCCTTTAAATTGTACTGTTAGAGTCAAGTGTACTTTTTTTCCTTAAAGCACATAATTTTTATTTTCCAAATGAACTTTAAATGTTATTTTAACAAAGCTTGACCTGTGTGTTATAAAATGTTTTGAAATGGGTATAAACTGTTACTAAAATCTGTCTCACAATTCATCTTTATTCACTTCTAGCCTTTATTTCAGCTTATAACCTTGTAAGTTCCCATTTATACCTTGTTGCTTACATTGTACTTGGAGTTTATTCCAACTTCTAATTTTACATAATATCATCTTTCCATCTTGTCTCCATTCCTATTCTAGCAAAATCATCTTTTATTATGTCATCTGATTCCTCTTTGTTCCCTTCCTTGCTTGTAGTATCATCCACCCTCTACCAAAACTTTGGCATCATCCTTAGCCCTCTGCCTTTTGGCCTAATGAGACCAAGAGTCTTCGTCCCAAAGTCTCTGCTGCCATTTATTTGCTGTATGTAGTTTATGCCCTTGCTTCACTGATATTCTTGAATTATCTGCTAATAACTGACCTATTCTCTGTCATAGTGAACTTTCTAAAAGATAAATCTAGTAATGTCATTGTTAGTTCATTTCACAGCTCATAGTGACCTAGAAGATAAGTCCAAAGGTTCTTCTTCATTATTTCTTTTTATTTTTAATTAAATATATTTGTATTGATTTTAGAGAGAGGGAAACATCAATAATGAGAGAGAATTGTTGATTGGCTGCCTCCTGCACATTCCCTACTGGGAATTGAGCCCACAACCTGGCCCTGGGCATGTGCCCAACCGCTGAGCTACCCTGACTGGACCATCACTACTATTTTAGCTTTTGTCTTGTGTTATCCATTGTCCCTAATTTTGTTGAGTCATTAGCCTTTGTACCTTTTTTTCTTTCATTGATTTCAGAGAGGAAGGGAGAGGGAGAGAAATAGAAAATTAATGATGACAGAGAATCATTGATCAGCTCCCTCCTACATGCCCCTACCAGGGATCAGGTCTGCAAACAGGTATGTGCCCTTGACCAGAATCAAACCCAGAACCCTTCAATCTACAGGCCAATGCTCTATCCACTGAGCCAAACCAGCTAGGGCACCCTTTGTACTTTTAATATCTAAAAAGTATCAAAATGCAACTTGATTAATTAGGAAGCATAATTTGAAGAGACACAGCATGCTTAGGTGTATTTTCTAATTAGGAAGGAATATATAAACCATTTGCTCTTTAGTGTCGTTGGTTAGGTAAGATGAGGTCTTGCAATTCACAAGGTGGCTGCAAGCTGCCCAAACTGTTTGGCCTTGTTTAATTTTATTATCTCAGTTTCCCCATTGAAGTTGCCCTGGGATTTTTCTAGCTTCTTACTATCCTGCCACAATAGGACCTACCAGATGTGTTAATAGATTAGATGTGAAAACGGGAAATTGAAACCATTGAGGTTTTTAATTCAAGTATTTGGATGGATAGCGGTGCTATTTATTGAAGTGGAGATCGAAGATAATAATGGGACATATTGAGGGGGAAGTCTTTAGAGATCCAAAGTCATGTATTGGTATTGGTTTAGGAGTGAGTGGAATGTGAGGAACTGGACACAGTATGTGCAGACAGCTATCGCTATGAATGGGAGAGAGTAAACAATTGGACCAGTTCTTGAAAGAAGAATTGGGATATGTTGAAGGGAGGCCTGTCTTTGTTTTTAGAATGACATTCAAGGACAGTTAACTTCTGATCAGGATATTAAAGTGGAAAGGAAAAGGTGGAAGATGTACAAGAAAAATAACCAAGCCGAGACCGGTTTGGCTCAATGGATAGAGCGTCGGCTTGGGGACTGAAGAGTCCCGGGTTCGATTCCGGTCAAGGGCATGTACCTCGGTTGCAGGCATATCCTCAGTAGGGGGTGTGCAAGAGGCAGCTGATCGATGACTCTCTCTCATCGATGTTTCTAACTCTATCTCTCTCCCTTCCTCTCTGTCCAAAATCAATAAAAATATATATATATATAAAAAAAAAAGAAAGAAAAATAACCAAAATACCCAGTTCTTTGAGGAGACAAAAAAGGGAATAATGATGCCCAGAACATGAGTAGGGAAAAAACTGGCTTAAGTGAGGTAAAAGTGACATACTGAATGATAGTGCTTGATTCATTGTACCAGCTTTCTGTGGTACTTGAAATTCTAACTTTCTAGCTTTTAACCTCCTTCCCCTCTTCTACTTTGATAATAAAAGATGTCAAAAGGAAACAACTTTTATGGCAGAGCTGATTGCTTGAAATGGTCCTCTTTTTTCAAAGTCATGTTGCTGTCCTGGGCAATCTGCTAATTCTATCCTATATTTGTGTTACATTTATATTTTTATTGTACTTATTAAACATACTATATTAGTTTTCTATTGCTACTTATTACTTGCAATAAGTTACCACAAACTTAGTGGTATAAAACAATACAGATTTATTATTACTTATAGTTCTATTGGTTAGAAGACTGACATGGACTAAAAATCATAGGACTAAATTACTGAGCTAAAATCAGGGCTGTATTCATTATTTTCTAGGGACTCTAGGGGAGGATTTATTCTATGTCCTTTCACCTTCTAGAGGCAGCATAGTATTTCTTACTCTGCTTTTCTCTCCTTTTCTTTACACCTGTTTCTCTGATCCTCTTATCTGCTTCCCTCCTATTTTTAAGGACCCTTGTATTGGGCCCACTCACATAATCCAGGATAATTTCCCTATTTAGCTGAGCAACCTTACTTCCATTTGCCAGGTCATCTAACATATTTATAGGTTACAGGCATTGGCATGGGTGGAGAGGCATTATTCACCTAGCACATTGTAGTTCCTACTGTTATTCATTTTTGTATTCCCAGCACTTCAGTGCCTAAAACATTGTATATATTCATGAAGTATGGAGAGTGTTTGGCATTAAATGTTCTCTTTCTTTTCCCTCCTCCCTCCTTGCTCTCAACTTTTTGTAGTGACAGGTCAGTCTTACGAGAATATGGTAACTGAGATCATGTCAATGGGCTATGAACGAGAGCAAGTAATTGCAGCCCTGAGAGCCAGTTTCAACAATCCTGATCGAGCAGTGGAGTATCTTTTAATGGTAAGAGACATTGATTTGTCATTCCATTTATATATGTATTCATTGATTGCTCCTTATATGTGCCCTGACTGGGGATTGAACCTGCAACCTTGGGATATCAGATGCTGTAACCCAGTGGTCGCCAACCTTTTTGACTTCTCAGACTACCAATGGACCACGGGTTGGCGACCACTGCAGTCTAACCAACTAGCTAGTCTAACCTAACCTAGCTAGGGCTTGAGCCTTTACTTTTAATTGAAGCTTTTGGAAATTAGACAAGGATATTAAATATGTTAGTAAGTCTTTAATTATGGGATATTTTAAAGCTTGGAAATTGTATTTTAGGGAATTCCTGGAGACAGAGAAACTCAAGCTGTGGTTGATCCCCCTCCAATAGCTACTACTGGGCCTCCTCAGTCTTCAGTGGCTGCAGCTGCAGCAACTACAACAGCAACAACTACAACAACAAGTTCTGGAGGTAAAGTGTAAGCTTTTGGATGGGGAGGAAATGGTCCTGAATTTGTACTGTAAAATAATCTGAAGTATTTTGAGGTGAGGTTTATTCCCACAGCATTTGGATAAATCCAAAGATATTCTTGCTTGTATACCACATCATTGTTGTTGTTTTGATAGAGAGCATATTCTAAGGAAGAGGTACTTCCCAGTTTTCCTTGTTACATTCTGAAGTCATTTTGAATGGTTTACTCACCTTGTCTCTTTCTCTCATTATAAATGTCATTGAGTATGTATAATTCCAAAACCAGTAGTATCTTAGTGGTTATTATACAACCAAGGAATTAAAACCTGAAAAGGTTTAAAATCTGTGTCTAGAGGTGAAAGCAAACTTGAATTCAAGTGTCTACTGGCCAATACCCACATTTCCATTGCCAAAAGTTTGACTACAAAGCAAAGTGTGGAGCCTGTGGTAGGCCCAGGAATTAATGTTCTCCTGCATTCTTCTGGTATTGAGAAAGGATTCAAACAGTTAATTTTGAAGGGGTCATTCATTAATGCATATTCTTGCTCTAATTACAACAGTCAGTTCTGATTGATAAAAATTTCTAAGCACTTTGTGTACAGTCTCCCAGAGGACAGGAGCGACTTGTCATTTCTGGAGAATTAGCATGGGAATGGAAAGAGGAGGCACGGCTTTGATTCAGATTGAGGATGCTGTCCCATTCACTAGCACTTATTAAATAACTTAGTTTCTGAGTTTCATTTTCTTCACCTATAAAACTGGTCTTACATGAGGAAGAATAATATCTGTGTCATGTGACCACTTTAATTTCAATGATTGTCTTAAAATAAAATTTAAGAAAAAACATATAAAATATTCTCATTATTCATTAGTAACCTCCAAATACAAATCCCGCCCCAAACACACACACACACACACACACACACACACACAAGTCACAAGTTCTAGATCTTATACCTTATTTGGCATTATTAATATTATTATAAAGGGTTCTTGGATGAAGGAGTTCTAAATATTACTAGATTGTCTTGTGGCTTATCTCAAGATTTTATAGATTATAAATATTTAAAATTTGATGGCAATAAAATAATTTTCCAACAGTAATTCACTTGTGTTAAAAAACTCCATTTGATTTGTATACCTAAACTCTTTCTTAACTTGTAATTATTAAATACAGGGGTTGGCAAAAATAGATTTACAGTGTGAGTATATGAAATATAGTTTATCCTTTTTAAAAATATATTTTTATTGACTTCAGAGAGGAAGGAAGAGGGAGGGAGAGGTAGAAACATCAGTGATGATAGATGATCATTAATCGGCTGCCTCTTGCATACCCTCCACTGGGGATTGAGCCATCAACCTGAGCATGTGCCCATGACCGGAATCGAACCTTGGACTGGATCCTTCAGCCTTCAGGCTAATTCTCTATATACTGGGCCAAACCATCTATGCCACAGTTTATTCTTTTATTGTTAATTTATATTTTTCCATACAAACAACTATAAACCTACTTTTGTTCACCCCTGTTACAAATTTTCCAGGAATTCAAGTTCAGATTGTTTTTGAGTTTTTGTTTGTTTTTTCTTAGTCCTGCTATATATTTTTATTAATAACTTTTGAGCAGCAGGAACAACTTTTAGTGCTTTTTATTTTTGATAGGGAACATGTAAAGCACAAGACCTCAGTATTTGTTACTTTCAGTGTCTCTGTCTAAATTATGATTGAACCAATTCTTTGTATATGTAATTAATACTTTAACAATGTTTTATGTGTATTTTAGGACATCCCCTTGAATTTTTACGGAATCAGCCTCAGTTTCAACAGATGAGACAGATTATTCAACAGAATCCTTCCCTGCTTCCAGCATTGCTACAACAGATAGGTCGAGAAAATCCTCAATTACTGCAGGTGACTATTTAACCATAGTTAATTTCAGAAGTGAGTTTAGAGTGCCTCATATTTTAAGACCCCTTTCCCCTCCACCAACTCTAAACCATTCTAAGCTACTTTCAGTAGAATATGCTACATAGATAGATATACTAGAAAAAGAGCTGGGGATGGAGGTTGGATTAATTTTAGTTGCTTATATCATAAATTTGGGAATCATCTTATTAAAGAATCTGAGAAACTCTTCAGCAAAGAAACTTTTAACTTGTCTTTTTTCCCCAAGCTTATTAGTAGAGCTTCGCCACTTAGGGAACATACTTGCGGGCTTAATTAATGCTTATGTCACAAAGTATTTTTTTTTTTAATATATTTTATTGATTTTTCACAGAGAGGAAGAGAGAGGGATAGTTAGAAACATCAATGAGAGAGAGTCATCGATAGGCTGCCTCCTGCACACCCCCTACTGGGGATGGGCCCACAACCAAGGTACATGCCCTTGACCGGAATCGAACCCGGGACCTTTCAGTCTGCAGGCCAACACTCTATCCACTGAGCCAAACCGGTCCCGGAGTATTTTGAGTTTGGTACATCGTTGTACTGCCTGCTAGTGTGGAAGACATATGTAAGTTCTCTTTGCTCTTACAGTCATCAAGTGGTATTTTAGTATTGCTTTTATTTTTTGACAGTGTACATTTATGAAAGAGAATTTGAATTCTCTTAATTCTTCAGTGTTTATCTCACTCAAAAATACCGATCTTGGTGTGCAAGAGGCAGCTGGTCGATGTTTCTTTCTCATCGACGTTTCTAGCTCTATATCTCTCCTTACTCTCTGTAAAAAATCAATAAAATATATTTAAAAAAAAAAAAAAAAAAGTACCGATCTTCTTTAATAATGTGCAAAGAATCATCCCCATAAAATTTAATAATCTGGAATCAATCTAAAATATTTGCAAAAGTTATAGTTTCTCTCTTATTTGTATTTAGAATTCTTTTTTCCTGAAGATACTTTATATCAATGTATTTTTTTCTGTCCTTCAAATCACAGCAAATTAGCCAACACCAGGAGCATTTTATTCAAATGTTAAATGAACCAGTTCAAGAAGCTGGTGGCCAAGGAGGAGGAGGAGGAGGAGGGAGTGGAGGAGGCAGTGGAGGAATTGCAGAAGCTGGAAGTGGTCACATGAACTACATTCAAGTAACACCTCAGGAAAAAGAAGCTATAGAAAGGGTGAGTTTAAGTAAAACTAACATTTCAGTTCTTCAGACACAACAGTCACCTTTCCAGTGCTCAGTGTTCATAGGGGGCTAGTGGCCACTGCATTGAATAGCACTGATCCATTTCCATCACAGGTGGAGTTCTTTTAGAGCAGAGTAGAGCGTTGTTGCCCCTGGGGATTGCTGGAAAGACAGACTTCTCAGGCCTGCTCTCCCATCTTGTTCTTTGTGAAGCCCAGGGACCAGCAATGAATACCATTCTAGCATGAAATAGTTGTAAATATATTACAAAACTAAAAATGTCATTGATGCTCTAAAATTCAGGCAGAAAATGATCTTTAGGAATGTGCCCGATTTAAGATGATCCATTTTCAGGTTTATATTTCAGATTTTTAAATTTTACTACTGTCACTAAAACCTAAAGTGTGTATAACATACAGTAAATATCAGACCCTGCTATCCTGAATCTCTTCTCATCTTACCAGGGTGACAGTGTAGGTCATGGCACTGTAATAACCTGGTTTTTGTGATACTGTGACTAGTCATTTATTCTCTGGACCCATTGTTAACATTTATAAATAAGGAATCATAGTACTTGCTTGTTTCACAAAGTGTTCTGAGATGAAAATTCAGTACAGTGCAGTTTAACTTAGAAAATCATCTGGACAATAATTTGTCCTTATTTATGATATAAACATATCAAATCAAGTGTTTAAGGTTTATAATTAGGTATTTCTTAATAGATACTTTATATATCAGGCTGATATTTTCCCCTCTGAGTAAATGACACTTTCTTCAATTGTTCTATAGCAACCTTTTTTTTAGGTTAGTTAGGGTTATCAGTTCTTGATTTCTGTGTTGGAGAAGTTTTAAGTTTTCTCTTATTGCTTGCTTTTAATTCATACTAGAGCGCCTAGTGCATGAAATTCGTGCACGGGGTGGAGGGGATCCCCTCAGCCCAACCTGCACCCTCCAATCAGGGACCCCTTGGGAGATGTCCTGCCCTAAACTGGCAGTCAGACATCTCTCTCTCAATCCTGGACTGCTGGCTCCTAAATGCTCACTTGCCTGCCTTCCTGATCACCCCTAACTGCCCCTCCCCCCCACTGCCGGCCTGGTTGCCCCTAACTGCCCTCCCCCAACCCTGTCGGCCTGATCACCCCACACACACACACACACACACACACCCTTCTGCCAGCCTCATTGTCTCTCACTGCCCACCTCCCCTACCAGCCTGGTCATCTCACACAGTCTGCTGTTTAGTTGTTTGGTCATCCCTCACCAACCCCTCTGCCAGCCTGGTCATAGACAGCCATCTTGTGAGGGCATGAGGTCAATTTGCATATTGCCTCTTCATTATATAGGATTTTCTATAAAATCTTTCAGAAATACTCTATAGTCTTCAGTTTGTATTTTTTGTGTTAAATTTATTCCTAAGTATTTTTATTGTTTGTGATGCTATTATAAGTGAAATTATTTTCTTAATTTCATTTTGAAATTGTTCAGTTCTAGTTATATAAAAATATAATTTATTTGATTTTATATCTTCCAACCTTCCTGAACCTCATGTATTGATTTTGATCATTTGGATGTGTTCCTTAGGTAACTATGTGAAAGATCCTTTGCAAGTAGACCTGGTTTTACTTCTTTTCTAATATAGATGCATTATTTGTTTGTTTTGTGTGACTAATTGCTATATCTAGAGCCGCTTCTGTATTGTTGAAGAGAAGTGACGAGAGCTAACATTACTTGTCTTAATCTGCATTTTCAAGGAAAATATTTCAGTCTTTCGTTATTTAGGTTATTAGCTATGGGTTTTGTTGGGTTGAGGAAGTTTCCTTCTACTTCTAGTTGTGTATTTTTATCACAAAATGGTGTTGGATTCTGTCAAATGCTTTTTGTGTGTTTATTAAGATCATCATGTAATTTTGTTCCTTTTCCTATTAATATCCTTTATTATGTTGGTTGATTTTTGTATGTTGGAACAACCTTGTATTTCTGGGATAAACTCCACTCAGTTATGGTGTACAATCCTTTTTTATAAAAGTTACTGGATTTGGTCTGCTAGTAGTACTTGGTTGAGGATTTCTGGATCCACATACAAAGTATAGGTCTGTTGTTTTCTTGTGGTGTGTGTCTGGTTTTGGTATAAGTGTAATAATACTAGTTATAAAGAATGAGTTTGGGAAATGTTCCCTTATCATCTCTATAGAAGAATTTGTGAAAAATCGATGTTAATTTTTCTCTAAATGGTTGCTAGCTTGTCTGTTCAGATTTCCTGATTCTTCTTGAGCCAATTTTGATGGTTGTGTTTTTGTTGTTGTTTTTGTGTTTTTTTGTTTTTTTTGTGTGTGTCTTTCTAGAAATTGTCTATTTAATCTTTTATCTAATTTGTTCATAATATTTCTTTAATAGTTTTTATTTCTATAAAAATATAAATGTTTTCACATTTATTCTTGATTTTAGTAATTTTAATCCTCAGCTCCCCCTTCTTCTTTTTGTCGGTATTATTGATCTAAAGAAAAAAAACACTATTTTTTGGATTTGCTAAGTCCCTTGTTGTTGTAAGTTTCCATTTTATTTTCTCAGTGGTTTTATTATTTCTGTCCTCTGCTTGCTTTGAAATTGTTTCCCTTTTTATAAATTTTTTTATTGATTTCAGAGAGAGAAAGGAGAGTTAAACATTTTCCAGTTTCCTTTGTGATCTCTTCTTTAATCCATTGGTTATTTTGGACTTGTTTTAATTTCTACATGTTTATGAATATTTCAAATTTCCTTCCATTATTGATTTTTAAGTTTATTCCATTGTGGACAGAGAGCACATTTTGTATGATTTTAATCCTTTTAAATTCATTAAGGTTCTTTTATAGCCTAACATGGTCTTTATGGAGAGTATTCATGTGTACTTGAAAAGGATGTGTTAAATGTTTTGTAAATGTCCATTAAGTCTTGTTGATTTATTGTGTTGGTAAGTCCTTTATTAGCTTTTCAATCCTCTTTCTAGTCGATGCTTCCATTATTGAACGTAGGGATATTGAAGTCTGCAACTATTGTTGAATTGTCGAATTGTCTTTCTCCCTTCAATTCTGTCAGTTTTTGTTTCATGAATTTTGGAATTTTCAAAATTGATACATTTTCTTTCTTTTCTTACAGTTAAAGGCATTAGGATTTCCTGAAGGACTTGTGATACAAGCATACTTTGCTTGTGAGAAGAATGAGAACTTGGCTGCCAATTTTCTTCTACAGCAAAATTTTGATGAAGATTGAAAGGGACTTTTTTTTTTTTTTTTTTTTTTTTTTTTTTTTTTTTTAATCTCACACTTCACACCAGTGCATTACACTAACTTTGTTCACTGGATTGTCTGGGATGACTTGGGCTCATATCCACAATACCTGTATAAGGTAGTAGATTATTGGGGGTGGGAGGGAGGGATCTAGGATAAATACAGTGCATGTCTGCTTCAATTAGCAGATGCTGCAGATCCACACAGTGTGTAAAATAGACAACCAAAAAAGCAGCTTTTGCAGGTCTCTATCTTGTATAAAACAGTAGGTAACTTCCTAGGTTTCACTCTTTTAGTGTACTAGATCCAGAAATTTAGTGTAATGCCCTGCTTTATATTTCTTTGACTTAACATTGGTTTCAGAAAGAATATTTGCTACCTAGAATCTACAGTCTCTATTTCATGGCAACACTGGATAATGGCTTTATGAAATTGAAACAAATTTGGAACAACTGCAAAGAAATGCCAAATAATTGATGATTATTGTTGCTGCTTCAAATAAGTATAAAATTAATGTCAAGAAAGCCCATTCTTTCATGTTAAATACTTGGGTTGGGTGGAAAAGAAGGGGAACTTTTTCTTAAAGTGAAAATACTGCTATTTTAAAATCTCTTGATCGTTGAATGTGAGACCCTTCTGATATGATTTGAGAAGCTGTACAAGTATAGGCAGATTTACTTTCCTGTTTACATTTTTTTGGTTTGTTTGGGGGAAAATTGGTAGGTGTCTAATTACTGTTTACTTCCTTGTTATATTGCAGTAAAAGTTTTAAAACCACCATTGCATGTTTGCTTTTGATGTATCCCTTTATGGAATTAGCACTTTGGGCCCAATGGAGAAGTGCAGCGCTCACTCTCCCTCGTCCCTTGCCTCAGCAGAACCGTGCTTGTCACCAAGTTGTGAATTCAAACTGCTGCCTTTCTTAAACCCAGCAAGGCTGATTCAGTTCAAAATTAATGCAAATGTTTCAAATCTGGGTTTCTTATATTTGTAAGTGTTTTCTCTTATTGGATAAGAATGTATGGCCATTAAATTGCTTTCAAAAAGAGAAGGTGGACAGAACTATAATCCAGCATCTTTTATTTGAAAGACTAAGGAAATCTTTTGGATGGGTTGGGAGATGAGGCTGGGAAAGTACTTTGGAAAATATACAATCAAGACATCTCATAGCATATTAAAAGAAAACTCTTAATAGCAGTGGTGGCTTTTATCTGAATTTTTTCATCTCAGGTTTTTTGGTTGGTTTTTGTTTTTTTGTGTTTTTTTTTTAATCTTCTTCATTGGCATTGTTCTTTGATCATAGAGGGGGCAGATGTCTACTTGTTTTCAGTTTTCCAAATCTTTTCCTGACTATAAACAAGACTTTAAAGAAATTTTTCCCCCCGCCATCTGATACTGAATTAAGAAGATGAATTTGCACAGATTTCTCCCTGCGTAATCTCTTGCAATAATCCTTAGCATCGTTTGGTGATGACTTTTAAGCTTTTACATCATGCACTCATAACCTGTCTAATTTGAAAATAAATGAAATCATGGTTTCTCCCTACAATGTTAATCATGTGACTTAATCTTCATGTGTTTATTCCGTAAACTCAACAGGCCTTTGGACTTTGTATTACCTGTATGTTTTATAACGAATCATGCAAAATATCTCAGGAGAATAAAATGAGAATTTGTAAATATGTTCCCTCTTTCAAGACAGGAGTTGGGAAGAGGGATGGTATTTCTGGTTGGATCATGGAATATTTTATTTTATGACATTTTATCTGCTACCTGATTGCTCACAGAAAAAGGATTAAAAAAAAACAAAAAAAAAAAAAACAGCCGCCTCTTCCTTACTCTGGGAAGTGACAGCAGAAGTTGGTGGCATGGAGCTTTTGTCCTTGGACAGCAAAACTACATAAGTGGGATTAATGATTACCGGAGGACAGTTCAGGCCAAGTTTTGACCATTCCTTGTTTATCTGCTTAAAGAATCAGACAAGACGCTATGAAAGAAATAGGCTTTTTGAGACCTTTTGTTGTCTTAATTTGCAAACAGTTTTGGTAATTCTCTTAATGTAAGTGACTTATTTGACTTTGGAATTTTGCATTTGAGGTATGTCATCTTCCTTGAAATGTTTTTATTGTTTAGTTGCTCTGTGGAAAATGTGAGGAAGCTTAAGTTTATATTTGTTAAAATCTTACTGCCATCCCCAAGTCAAACATGTCTTTACATTGTTTAAAAAATACTAAAGTGTTCCATCAAATAATTTTTTTTTCCTGTACGAGAAGCCTAGGATTCTAGACAATTATAAAATATTTTCAATACATCCAACATTGCATTTCTCATTTTTTAAGTGATTTTGCCATAAAATCTAAGACTGAAAGTTGCCAATGCCTCTTTCACCGATACTGTTTTCTTCAGTGAATGGTGAAGGGAGCATGTTAGAAGGCCAGGCACTAGCTCGGTTTTATTGGGTCTCCTATTTGTTTTTTCAACTAAATCATTAATATAGAAATGGGATACCTAATGGAGTGTCAGTCAAGTTTCATGAGGACTTTGAGAGATTTCGATATCCCCATTCTTAATGCTGTAGAGCAGCCAGCCCAAGACTGCTTCCAAATATTCAACCAAATGCCAGCTGTTGCAACAGAGAGTAAGGGCTTCCTGACCAAGTTGGTACTTTGGTGAGTTCCCCACTACAAGGATCAGTTGTCTCTTCAGTTGACCTCCCCTGTCCATTTTGTTTCACTCTGTTCTAAGCCAGGGGCTGGCTCGCTGCCTGTTGCATGTTCTGTAAGCTAAGAATGGTCTGTCCTTATATTTTCAATTGGCTTAAAGGTTTTTTTGGTATGAAAATTACTCATATTTCAGTGTCCATAAATAGTTGGGTTGAAACACAACCATGCTCATTTGTATATATTATCTATAGATACTTTTGTGTTACAGAGGTATGATGTTGAATGTTTGGCAACAGAGGCTAAGGCCTACAGCGCCTAAATAATTATTGCCTAGTTCCTTACAGGAAAAGCTTGCCATCCCTGTTCTAAACTGCAACTAGCCCATCATATGTTAAATTATGCTATGCTTTTTTAATCCTTTTTGGCATTCTTGGCCTCTTGACTTCCGGTCTTAGCTTCAGTTTGATTTGTTAGTTACTATCATAGGTTCTTTCCAGAGGAGTGGTACCACCCCCACATCTGCACTGACAAAGGAAGGAACATTGTGTGCCTGGTGTGCTGGCCTAGCATGTATGTGGTGTCTTGAAATTATTTGCTGTTACCACACTGTTTCTTGCTCTTGCCTGAAGATAATGAAATTCAGACTGTCGAAAGCACCTGGCAGAGTGATGAACCAGTCAGAACACACATCAAAGCCAGATGAGTCTTTGGGCCTTGGATCAGAGTTGGGGCAGTTGAACCGCTGGAAAAAGAGTGGGTGGAGCACTAGAGGGATAAGTGTAGCAGTTGGACCTGTTTGGTTGGTAGCCTATTTTCCAGAACTGTGTGTAGGTATTGGGAAGGGCAGTGGTGAGTAGGCAAGAGGGAAGGCTTGGACTTGGTAGGAAAAAGATCCAGCACTCAATAATGATTTGGGAACCACAGGGACAGCAATGGTGATAATAGGTTGTGAACGGCCCTCCCTGTCAGGTTAGATTTGGGAAATTGTGGTCCTAGAGTGGGGCCTTCACTGTGGCACCAAAGAAATAAGTGATGATGAACTTACTAATGTGTCCTGCTGCAGATTCCAAAATGAATGGTAACATGGTCTCTGCTAGGGAGCTGGAAAATACCATTGAATACTAACGGATCCTTTAAGAGAAACTAACTTGTCTTTTACTGGTACAAATTAGAAAAATAGTCTCCTAGACTCCAGCCTCGTGTCTCACAGTTTTCTTGTTGACCTATGTCCTTATCTACTTTTTCCATCTGACTCGGGATGAATGGGATAACAGTCCTCTCCAGTTCATGAGATGGTCTTCAGGGCACCCGAGGAACCTAGCCCCAACCAGCATTATGTTTTCCCCCCAGTGTTTTGTACAAGTACTATGTTGGCTGTGATTAGAATGTTGGGAAGCTACACATATACTAACTCTCTCGATAGGCCTCCTGCCTATTGGTGCATGCATCTAAGGACAAAGGATGTTTGGTATGGATCCTGGGTTTGGGTTTTTGACAATTTCCCTATTACAAAGTCCACAATGGTTTCAAAATTTACTTAAAATTTGGCTATAAATTATAGGAGCCAGTCTGGGTTTTATTTGTCTGCAATAGCAGATTAGAAGAACACTAGTATGTAAATTCAAAATTAATAGGTTAAAAATTGGATGAGAATGTGTGGGGCTGATGGCAAAATGCCTTAGAACAAGCTTGGGGTTAGGGTTCTTGCTTTTGAATGATTTTGTGAACCCTGGAGTGGTTTTTGCAACTTCCTTGAATTTTAGTCTACTTGATTTTTTGTTGTTTTGGGTTGTTTTCACATTTCTTTTTGGTCAGGCCTGCTCCTGCTTGTTGATAGCATTTTGACTAATCCTTATATCTCCAGTTCTCAGCAAATTATCTAAAGGAAAGTTAAATATTTTAACAAATTCATTACTGCTTTAATTGTAAAATATTTATATCTTTAACTTTGGTGTTATAATTTTTATAACATCTTTGCAAAGAGCCCAAAGTTAAATACAACTTTTTCATTCTTAATGTCAAGCTTACAGAAACATAGCAGGAACAGCACAAAGAGCTCCCATTGACCATCACCCCTACCCCAAGCCCAATTAAATTTTGCAGTTGACCCAGTGATGCCCTTAATAGCAGAAGGATCCAATATCATGCTGCATTTAATTAGTCTCCTTCAACCCATACTCTTCCTCTGTCCCTCCGTGTGACGACCATAATGCTTTTCTAAAATTATAGGACAGTTGTTTTATGGGATGCCCCTCAGTTTGCTGGGCATTTCCTCGTGAAAAGTTAGCCGTAAAGTGCTGCTGTGCTTCCACTGCATCCC